ACAGACATCTTCCTCCTGTCTGCTCCACTCTCAGCTGCCATACACACATCTTCCTCCCGTCTGCTCTACTCTCAGCTGCCATACAGATATCTTCCTCCTGTCTGCTCCACTCTCAGCTGCCATACAGACATCTTCCTCCTGTCTACTCCACTCTCAGTTGCCATACAGACATCTTCCTCCTGTCTGCTCCACTCTCAGTTGCCATACAGACATCTTCCTCCTGTCTGCTCCTCTCTCAGCTGCCATACAGACATCTTCCTCCTGTCTGCTCCACTCTCAGCTGCCATACAGATATCTTCCTCCTGTCTCCTCCACTCTCAGTTGCCATACAGACATCTTCCTCCCTGTCTGCTCTACTCTCAGCTGCTATACAGACATCTTCCTCCCTGTCTGCTCCCCTCTCAGCTGCCATACAGACATCTTCCTCCTGTCTACTCCACTCTCAGTTGCCATACAGACATCTTCCTCCCTGTGGGGCGGTGGGGTAGCCTAGTGGTTAAAGCGTTGGCTCGTCACGCCGAAGGCCCGGGTTCGATTCCCCACATGGGCACAATGTGTTAAGCCCATTTCTGGTGTCCCCCGCCGTGATATTGCTGGAACATTGCTAAAAGCGGCGTAAAACTAAACTCAGTCAGTCAGTCAGTCAGTCTTCCTCCCTGTCTGCTCCACTCTCAGTTGCCATACAGACATCTTCCTCCTGTCTACTCCACTCTCAGTTGCCATACAGACATCTTCCTCCCTGTCTGCTCTACTCTCAGCTGCTATACACACATCTTCCTCCTGTCTGCTCCACTCTCAGCTGTCATACAGACATCTTCCTCCTGTCTGCTCCACTCTCAGTTGCCATACAGACATCTTCCTCCAGTCTGCTCCACTCTCAGTTGCCATACAGACATCTTCCTCCTGTCTGCTCTACTCTCAGTTGCCATACAGACATCTTCCTCCTGTCTGCTCCACTCTCAGTTGCCATACAGACATCTTCCTCCTGTCTGCTCCTCTCTCAGCTGCCATACAGACATCTTCCTCCTGTCTGCTCCACTCTCAGCTGCCATACAGACATCTTCCTCCTGTCTCCTCCACTCTCAGTTGCCATACAGACATCTTCCTCCCTGTCTGCTCTACTCTCAGCTGCCATACAGACATCTTCCCCCTGTCTGCTCCCCTCTCAGCTGCCATACAGACATCTTCCTCCTGTCTACTCCACTCTCAGTTGCCATACAGACATCTTCCTCCCTGTGGGGCGGTGGGGTAGCCTAGTGGTTAAAGCGTTGGCTCGTCACGCCGAAGGCCCGGGTTCGATTCCCCACATGGGCACAATGTGTTAAGCCCATTTCTGGTGTCCCCCGCCGTGATATTGCTGGAATATTGCTAAAAGCAGCGTAAAACTAAACTCAGTCAGTCAGTCAGTCAGTCTTCCTCCCTGTCTGCTCCACTCTCAGTTGCCATACAGACATCTTCCTCCTGTCTACTCCACTCTCAGTTGCCATACAGACATCTTCCTCCCTGTCTGCTCTACTCTCAGCTGCTATACACACATCTTCCTCCTGTCTGCTCCACTCTCAGCTGTCATACAGACATCTTCCTCCTGTCTGCTCCACTCTCAGTTGCCATACAGACATCTTCCTCCAGTCTGCTCCACTCTCAGTTGCCATACAGACATCTTCCTCCTGTCTGCTCCACTCTCAGCTGCCATACAGACATCTTCCTCCTGTCTGCTCCACTTTCAGTTGCCATACAGACATCTTCCTCCTGTCTACTCCACTCTCAGTTGCCATACAGACATCTTCCTCCTGTTGTTCCACTCTCAGCTGCCATACAGACATCTTCCTCCTGTCTGCTCCACTCTCAGCTGCCATACAGACATCTTCCTCCTGTCTGCTCCACTATCAGCTGCCATAGAGACATCTTGCTCCTGTCTCCTCCGCTCTCAGCTGCCATACAGACATCTTCCTCCTGTCTGCTCCACTCTCATCTGCCATACAGACATCTTCCTCATGTCTGCTCCTCTCTCAGCTGCCATACAGACATCTTCCTCCTGTCTGCTCCTGCAGGGTTTGGGAAAGGCAGGGGTGATTTTATTCCAAGATAGAGAGCATATCACAAAATGCGTAAATTTTATCACGACTGTTGAAAAAGATGAAATTTACATGGTGTCTTTGTCAAAGAAAGATTAGGCTAACAATTTAACTACAAAACTATAGCGGAATGCCAGTCATGATACAATATCCTGGGTCCCTGAAGCCATATCACTATATTGAATGGTGAAGTGGGTAAAGTGTGTTGTAAAATGTGTGTATCGGGGATCCCTGCCGAAGTCTGAATGATGACCGGATCATTACTGCAGTGTGTAACACCAATGGCTGATGCTAATCACTGAATACTGCAGGATCATGTGATACCACCTTGGAGTTCCATGATAACCAACTTGTGCAGCCACTGTTTGCATTAGATCTATTCTACTGGCTCCTCCAGAAATGTCACCTTGTTCTGCAAGCAGTCCAGCATTGGTCTGATCTTAAAGGTTTTAAGCAGGCATATTTTAGCTCACCTGCCTGAAAACTATGTTCCTTATCTTGAGTTCTTTTTGTCTGTTCTAGGGCGTTCGTTCGTAACACTGAAGGCCCGGGTTCAAATCCCCACATGGGTACAATGTGTGAAGCTCATTTCTGGTGTCCCCTACCATGATATTGCTGGAATATTGCTAAAAGCGTCATAAAAACATACTCACTCACTCACTTTGCCTGTTTTAAACTTCTCAGAATCTGTGGACCAATAAAGATGTATTCCCACCAATGATGACATTATCAGCTTGTTCAAGGAGTTTGAATCTTATTTAAGTATTTTCAAAGAAAACATGTTTAACAATGTTGAGGATATCTAATCTCAGAGAGTTACATATTCATTACATATTCATGCATTTTAACTCTCTGCAATTAGATTTTTTCCAAATCAGTCTTGTTTTATTACATTGACTTCTCTATAAATTGAATTCTCTATAAACTGAATTCTCTATAAATGCATATATCCTCATCAAAAACACTCCTTCTGATCTGAGATTGACAGAGTGAAAGAGCTGAACCATTAAATGTGTGTTACACCTTGTGATGACATCATATGTACTTTTACGTTGTAAGATTTTACTATTTGTTTTTTTGTTATTGATGCCGAGGATTTTAGGAAATTAATGGTAACAGCAGCCTTTGTTCCTTGCAGCTGTTGTGCTTTTATCTGACTTTTGAACTGTTGACCACATAGCCAGGTGAGCTACAGTGGAAGTATTATTTGAACATGAGCACTATAAGCTGATGTTCTCAAGAGACTAGGATCAAGACAAACAATACGAAAATAATTCATCTCGGTCACAGACTTACTCACAGATTATCCGTTGAAGTTGGAAAAATGACCTTTTTCATTCATTTATGCCATTCTTGTATACTTGCATTATCATAATTTTTCTGGAAGAGGTTTCCTAATGTTTGAACATGAGCATGTCTTTGGTCCCAGATGGTGTTCTGAAGAGATGCAGAGAAGAAGAAGGCCTCTTGGGTCACTTGTTTATAGATCAAGGCTTGAGATTTGTAAGGTCGTCCCTTGTCACTCCTTTCAGCCATGACATCAGGCTGTAATGAAACAACAGGGCTTCCTGCGAACAATCTGAGCTGATACTTCTAGTCACCACTGTTTCATAGTTTTGCTAGACACCATGGTTTATATCCAACTGGTCCACACATAGGTAGGGGTAGACACCATGGTTTATATCCAACTGGTCCACACATAGGCAGGGGTAGACACCATGGTTTATATCCAACTGGTCCACACATGGGCAGGAGTAGACACCATGGTTTATATCCAACTGGTCCACACATAGGTAGGGGTAGACACCATGGTTTATATCCAACTGGTCCACACATAGGCAGGGGTAGACACCATGGTTTATATCCAACTGGTCCACACATAGGTAGGGGTAGACACCATGGTTTATATCCAACTGGTCCACACATAGGCAGGGGTAGACACCATGGTTTATATCCAACTGGTCCACACATAGGTAGGGGTAGACACCATGGTTTATATCCAACTGGTCCACACATAGGTAGGGGTAGACACCATGGTTTATATCCAACTGGTCCACACATAGGTAGGGGTAGACACCATAGTTTATATCCAACTGGTCCACACATAGGTAGGGGCAGACACCATGGTTTATATCCAACTGGTCCACACATAGGTAGGGGTAGACACCATGGTTTATATCCAACTGGTCCACACATAGGTAGGGGTAGACACCATGGTTTATATCCAACTGGTCCACACATAGGTAGGGGTAGACACCATGGTTTATATCCAACTGGTCCACACATAGGTAGGGGTAGACACCATGGTTTATATCCAACTGGTCCACGCATAGGCAGGGGTAGACACCATGGGTTTATATCCAACTGGTCCACACATAGGTAGGGGTAGACACCATAGTTTATATCCAACTGGTCCACACATAGGTAGGGGTAGACACAATGGTTTATATCCAACTGGTCCACACATGGGAAGGGGTAGACACCATGGGTTTATATCCAACTGGTCCACACATAGGCAGGGGTAGACACCATGGGTTTATATCCAACTGGTCCACACATAGGTAGGGGTAGACACCATGAGTTTATATCCAACTGGTCCACACATAGGTAGGGGTAGACACCATAGTTTATATCAATTGGTCCACACATGGGAAGGGGTAGACACCATGGTTTATATCCAACTGGTCCACACATGGGCAGGGGCAGACACCATAGTTTATATCCAACTGGTCCACACATAGGCAGGGGTAGACACCATGGTTTATATCCAACTGGTCCATACATGGGAAAGGGTAGACACCATAGTTTATATCCAACTGGTCCACACATGGGCAGGGTTAGACCAGAGACCATATAATAGAGGGACGGCCCTCAAGCCAGTGCGCAAAACCATCAGCGCTACGGCTTGTACTGCGCAGCCTATCCGGAAGCTGGCGATAACGTGTGTTGACTTCAGTCATCGATTTCGCGTATTTTCATTGCAAAGGTAAGATTTGATTTTTTTTCATGTATTCTCATGCCTATACTTACATTTGCAACAGTGCATTAGAGGTGTATTAGGGGTGCTAAAGCATATATTTGTCTTTGTATTTGATGAATACTGTCATGTGTGCTCGTCGTTCTGTGAGAACAATGGCGGATACTAATTCTCAATACACATCCTTAGTTACCAGGGTGTAATGAAAGAAAATAAGATAAAGATTGGTATAGGGGCATTCATAAGTCTGTGGCGGTCGCGTCATTCCTTATTTTGGCTCGTGCAATGCGACGAAATATGATGTTTTCCGAAATATTTACTCCACAACACTTGATTTTCACACGCTTTCACAAGAACAACTTATTACTAGCATGTTTGAAATAAACATGTGAACATTCACGGCGATTTCCTCTTTTGCGTGGTACACTTTTTATATGGCTACGATCGGTATTTTATTTTTTATGATTTTTGGCGTAAACCCATTTTTGCGCCGTATACTGAACATTTCAATTATCATGTAGCAGACGACATAACATACATTTTTTTCGTTAATATAACGCGAATATATATTTAAATCATTCTACAAATGTCTCATTCACCTAATCGTTTGAAAAAATGTACATATTTCCATTATTGTTCATTTTGATGATTATATTTGTGGAAAAGGTCCTTATTTATCATGTAACAATTCATATATTTTTCTGTTATCATTATTCTTCCTACTGACGTTATAAGTTATATTGCTATATATTATTATATTATTATACAGTACCAGCAGCCTGACTTTACGCAACAATGAATCAACATTTTATTTATATCATTACATTCTTTATATAATAAATTATCATTTGTTTGGCAGATGCCCAGGAAAAAGAAAGTTTTCATCAGCAGTCGCCGGAAGGGCTACTCAAAGAGGGGTCCGAGACAACAAGGTGTCAGTTCTTCCTCTCTCTCAGACATTCTTATTCATCAGTTCAATCAACTGTTCTTGACGATTGCAGGTAAGTAATAATGGAAGTAAGAAAATTCACAAATGATGTCTTTGAAAAAAAATGATTAATTTTGTGTTGTAGTTATTGGTATGTATTTATTTTATTGGTATTTGTATATCTGGTACCTGCAGAAATAAGTTTAAAATATCAAAGCAATTGTATAATCAAATATTAATATTGTTTCTTTTCTTATGTAAAAACAAAGGTATAGTGTAAATTATTAAGTACAATATTCCCATCTTGAGTAAGTAACTAGACCTTGTTTGAAAGAGCATTGGCAACCAACTATTGCATAATTTTAACAACTATTTAGAACCCATTTAATATTAATATTGTGTAACTCCATTTTCAGTTCAAGAGATGCACTGTGGGACAAAGCATGGAAGTCATTCTTCATTGACCTCACCGATGAACCCACAGATACCCCATGCCTGGAAGAAGCGACAGATTCTGATGGTTATTCGGCTGATGAATTCTTTGTTATTTTGGACACAATTTACCAGTATCATCCGGACAACAATGTAGATGAATTTGTTGATGGCATCCTGCGATACCAGCAATATTTAACATTAAAAAAGGAGCTGTTTCAGCATGTAGATGAGCTAGGCAATTTTACAATTGCAAGAAACAAGCGTGAAAACATTACTATTGTGCAGTTTTATGACTGACGTAGGCTCAGTCCAGCTTTCAGTAGTCATCAAGCCATCCTTTACATCAGCAATATATGCACATCATCGTGACTTTGGCCCAAATCATGAATTCTGAATTGGTTTACCTGCATTTTTCTCCACTCTAAGAGATATGAAGAAACTTTTATCAAAACTGTCTACATACCATTTTTGCGTCTGCAATTATGAAGACAGATTTGCAGACTTGATTCCAGTTGGTGCAGGCATAAGTGAAGGAGCTATTTCAACAATATCTGCTTAATAATTTAACATGTAATAAAGTACATGAGTTGAAATTATGGAAATTAAAATCCAATGTACAGTTCACTTCATGGATATCTAAAATATCTGTTAATGAAGTTATATTAAGATTGTGTACAGATTTGTATGATTTTATGTTTTACATTCACAATCAGTCCTAAATGGACAACATAACTATGCAGGTTGTGTTGCAAGAAGTTTATAAGTTATCATCTTCCCTTATTTTATCATGACTACAATTAATATATTTTTCTGTTATCATTTTCTTCCTAATGAAGTTTGATTATGAGTTTACCTGGGCTTAGACAGTACCAACAGCCTGTCTTATGCAACAACAAAATGAAAAATGAACTCATTATTCAACATTATATTTATATCATAAAATTATCATTTGTTTTGTAGATGCCCAGGAAAAAAGAAAGTTTTCATCGGAAGGGCTACTCAAAGAGCCTACTATTAAGTACAATATTCCCATCTTGATTAAGTAGATATACCTTGTTTGAAAGAGCATTGGCAACCAACTATTGCATGATTTTAATTTCAAATTCAGTTTAGAGTTTATTTGCAACAGTTGAAATTCACATTTACTGTGTTTTTAATGAAAGAATATCTAAATGGTTGAATTTAGTAATACATTATTGTACATATAGATCTATGGTCCTATTCTACAATAAATACACTGTACATATAAGAACTTGTGATGTTGTGTTTTAATGTTATTGGTTGCATTATCCTGCCAAGTTAAAGTTGAAACTTTGTTGAAATTTTTTAATTGATGGGTAATGTAGTACAGCCCATTTAACACGTATATTTCATGGGCTCGGAGGAAAGTGACTTTAGTATTTAGTGGCTTCCCTTTGAAAAACAACAACAAGTGTCTCCATACGGCCCAAAGCATAATCACTGCTAGCCCCAAACTGGCATTATAAAAACATTAACGCTCTTGGATAATGTGAAATCGTGTTTCGTTTGTACTATAAACTTTATAATAAACACCAGCCAGTCACAGGCCCTCGTGTCTTTCCGAGGATTCATGATTTTAATAATATTGTTTTTGAGATGAGACCCGATTTCGAAATGCTTCACAGTACAATACATAATGACAAGGCGGACACTTCTAGGGTGCACCCTACCCGACTGCGTTGCCGATCGCTACGCTACCATCGCATGCAATCGCTTAAAACTTTATGTAAACATAATCATGGATGATTGGCCTATTGAGCACCACTCATGACACCTACCAATTCTTTATTGTTATTTCTGCAAGTCGATTGAAAACCGATTTTGACTCTCAACTAAACGATCTTGACACAAATGGATGACGATATGTCCGCACACAACAAGGGTGTGGTCGAAGCAAGTCCTCTGATTGGCCAACGCTTGCAAATCTGAACATTCTTTATAAATTCGCGGGAATTTTTACTTTCATCGACTGCGTGACCTCACCCTCGTTTTGTGCCAACGAATACTTGCAAGTAAATCTTGAGATTAGCCATGTGATGATACGTTTAGCGAGCATCGGGGATATTGGCAACTGTAATATTAAAACTGCCTTTACCTGACTGGGTTAGTTTCATTTTTGTATTTTTGGTTTATATTCTCTGTTCTGTCGTAGTCTGTAAATTCTCCAAGTAAGTATCGAGGTCCAAGTCGGAATCATCCCAGTGAATTAATTAAGTCGTCCATGGCCATGCCGAATGTTGAAACAAACATTCCAGGCTTATGGCGACACGCATTTCGCGAATGATACATGTTCTGTGATGTTGTCAGTTGACATGTGCAAATGAGAGATAAGATAAAAATTAAGATTATTGTAATCAGTTTATTGGAGCTGTCCATGTAATGTTTAACTGTCAGTCGCAGCCCGGTGAAATACCGCTAAGGGAATTAACTCTCGGCCCGGATATTACGCAATATTGTTTACATGGTTACCAGAGTGCTCATTTGCGAATGTCTGCGCATCTGTTGCGCATGTGTACCGGTAGAGGGAAGTTAGCAGCAGGGTGTCGATGTGTATCAGTTACATGCCAGGCCGTAGAGCTGATGGTTAGTGATAAACTGTTGGGGAGGGCCGTCCCTCTATTATATGGTCTCTGGTTAGACACCATGGTTTATATCCAACTGGTCCACACATGGGAAGGAGTAGACACCATGGGTTTATATCCATGTTGCCCTGAATACACTCACAATGACCTGAATACACTCACAATGACCTGAATACACTCACAATGACCTGAATACTCACAATGACCTGAATACACCCATCATGATTTGAATACACCCACGACCTGAATACACTCACAATGACCTGAATACTCACAATGACCTTAATACTCTCACAATGACCTGAATACTCTCACAATGACCTGAATACACTCCCAATGACCTGAATACACTCATAATGACCTGAATACACTCACAATGACCTGAATACACTCACAATGACCTGAATACACACAATAACCTGAATACACCCATCTTGATTTGAATACACCCACAATGACCTGAATACACTCACAGTGACCTGAATACACCCACCCTGACCTGAATACACTCCCAATGTCCTGAATACACCCCCCTGACCTGAATACACTCACAATGACCTGAATACACCCACCCTGACCTGAATACACTCACAATGACCTGAATACACTCACAATGACCTGAATACACCCACCCTGACCTGAATACACTCACAATGACCTGAATACACTCACCCTAACCTGAATACACCCACCCTGACCTGAATACACTCACAATGGCCTGAATACACACACCCTGACCTGAATACACTCACAATGACCTGAATACACTCACAATGACCTGAATACACCCACCCTGACCTGAATACACTCACAATGACCTGAATACACTCACCCTGACCTGAATACACTCACAATGGCCTGAATACACTCACAATGACCTGAATACACCCACCCTGACCTTAATACACTCACATTGACCTGAATACACTCACCCTGACCTGAATACACTCGCAATGACCTGAATACACTCACAATGACCTGAATACACCCACCCTGACCTGAATACACTCACAATGGCCTGAATACACTCACAATGACCTGAATACACCCACCCTGACCTGAATACACTCACAATGGCCTGAATACACTCACAATGGCCTGAATACACTCACAGTGACCTGCTTCCACCAAGTTTGATCCTGAAGTTACTCAGATTCATCCCAGCTGAACAAATAACCGGATCAGGTTTACAGTTGAGAGGAAATTTGGGCTTGAAAGTTAAGGAGCGTAATACATAACTGAATCAAGATATGAGGATCGATCTCTGTCCACATACGTTACAGAAGGGATGAATTAGTTTAGCTCTGATGTTAGATGGGATATTTTGGCTTGAAAAACATCTGATTCCATCAACACTCTTGAGAATTGGAAAGTTTTGAGAATTTGCAAATAGTAATTGCTTTCTGTCTGCATGGTAATTTCTCTGAACATTGAATACTTTCATAGCAGTGTTTTTGTCTTAGTTAAATGTGTATCTTGTTAAGGTTTCTGAAGTTCAGTGATAAATCTTTGCCTCAGCTGGATGGAGAACAAATAGCAGGCCAATGTTCAGAAACAAAAGGCATCACTTTTCACCAAGGGACAGATATTGTAGCAGAACTTTAGTCTTAAACATGACAGTTTTACAACCGGAATTTATGTTCTGAAAATAATGTTTTGAGAGGAATTGCTTTTGGTATAATGTGACTGTGGCAGATTACCGAATGTTATCAAGACACGGAGGTTATTGCCCTGACTTTTATATGGCCGTGTAATTGCTGGCCCGAAGTAGTCAGTCTCATTCCGATCGTAATTGTAGTTTGATGGGAATTGTTGTTGACGTTACAGGTTTCAAGCTGTGGTGTGTTCATGTTGTGTGTGGGTGCGTGTATGTGTGTCGGACTGTATCAGTGTGATGGAGGTGACTTTGTGTGATCATATGACAGAATAATTTGCCCGTGTGTAATTTGTCTGATTATGTTATAATTCCTCAATGAGGTAACAGTGCAGTTATGTCTGAGTTCTGATTGGGAGTGCGATTGTGTGACTGTGAAGTTATATGTGATTGTGTGACTGTGAAGTTATATGTGATTGTGTGACAGTGAAGTTATATGTGATTGTGTGACAGTGAAGTTATATGCGATTGTGTGACAGTGAAGTTATATGTGATTGCGTGACTGTGAAGTTATATGTGATTGTGTGACTGTGAAGTTATATGTGATTGCGTGACTGTGAAGTTATATGTGATTGCGTGACTGTAAAGTTATATGTGATTGTGTGACAGTGAAGTTATATGTGATTGCGTGACTGTGAAGTTATATGTGATTGCGTGACTGTGAAGTTATATGTGATTGTGTGACTGTGAAGTTATATGTGATTGTGTGACTGTGAAGTTATATGTGATTGTGTGACTGTGAAGTTATATGTGATTGCGTGACTGTGAAGTTATATGTGATTGTGTGACTGTAAAGTTATATGTGATTGTGTGACAGTGAAGTTATATGTGATTGCGTGACTGTGAAGTTATATGTGATTGCGTGACTGTGAAGTTATATGTGATTGTGTGACAGTGAAGTTATATGTGATTGTATGACAGTGAAGTTATATGTGATTGTGTGACAGTATGAGTTTGTAAATGATCTGTTTTAATGTGACTGTTTGCAGTTATGTGCCAGTGTGTGACTGTGCGATATTTGTCTGTGTATAATTTGCCTAGTGAGGGGACTGTATGAAATTAAGTGAGTTTGTATGACTGTGCCCAATTTGTATGTATTCAGAGTGTCCAATAACGTGACTGT